ATGACCCAACCATTGACCCAATGACCCCACCTGAGACGAAGGAGACCTCACTGAAGAGCATCCACTCGGCGCTGAAGAAGAAGCGGCACTGGATGAATCGGGCATGGCGCCCCCCCAAGGGGACGGTGACCAAGCGGGCGCTGGGGTCCTTGATGGCCCCGGCCAGGCTGTGGGTGGCCACCGTGGGCTCCCAGGCCGTGGCCAAGCTCTTCTTGAAGCGACACTCGACCGCCCGGAAGATTCCGACCCCGCGCGTGTGGAGGTTGTTACAGTGGACCTGGGGGGGGGCCATGACACATCCCATGATGCCCTGGGGCAAGGTGACCACTCCCAGACCCCAAACCGTGGTGGTCACTCATCTGTCCATCCATGGCTGACCAATCCCACAATTCCCGGTGCCCAGATCTCCCAGCATTCCCTGGGGCACTCATCTGTCCATCCATGGCTGACCAATCCCACAATTCCCAGGTGCCCAGATCTCCCAGCATTCCCTGGGGCACTCATCTGTCCATCCATGGCTGACCAATCCCACAATTCCCAGTGCCCAGATCTCCCAGCATTCCCTGGGGCACCTGCATGGCGTGGAAGGCCCGGAGCTCCTGGAACTCGAACTCCAGCTCCACGTGTGGGTGTGGCCCGGGGGGGCGTGGCCACCCCACGTAGTCGTAGCCCGGCCACAGGCGGCGCTCGCGGGTCCTCAGGAAATCATCGAGGCCCAGGACCCCGTCTGAGAGCTGGCCCAGCCCCCCGAAGTGTAACCTGGGCAGGTGAGACACACCTGGGTATGGGGAGTGTCCTGTCCCACCCACCTGGGCACCTCCCAGTGACACCTGGACACCTCCCAATGACACCTGGGGACCTCCCAATGACACCTGGGGACCTCCCAGTGACACCTGGGTACCTCCCAGTGAGACCTGGGGACCTCCCAGTGACACCTGGGCAGGTGAGACACACCTGGGAACGCTTGGGGACAGTTTGGGAACACCTGGGGACATCTGGAAAGCTCCCGGGACAATTTGGGGACACTTGGTGGGGGATTGGATGCAGGAAATTTGGGAATTCTTGGGGACGGCAGGGACAGGTGACCCTTGGGGACACCTGGGGACAGGTGGGGACCCCGGGGACTCACGGGCCAGCGCTGAAGCCGTCGTAGGTGGAGTCGTTGAGGACGATGGGGACGGGGTCCAGGGCCATGACGTGACCCCGTGGGGCCGTGTAGGACAAGAGCCCGGCTGGGGACAGCAGGGTCACCACGGGGCCACCATGGGGCCACCACGGGGTCACCGCGGGGTCACCGCGGGGTCACCACAGGGTCACCACGGGGTCACCACGGGTGTTGTTGACCCCATGATTCAAAGGCCAATGAATGACCCCAACACCCAACCATTGACCCCAACACCCAACCATTGACCCCAACACCCAACCATTGACCACATGACCCAACCATTGACCCCA